AGCAACTCCCAAGATATTCAGAATACCCAGGAAAGGATCTGAGCTCTGAGCCAGAAAAGCATTGTACTGCTTTAGTGAATATAGTTACTTAGCAACTCCTTTCCCAGATGGGTTCCATGTCTTATGATTGCTATGAAACTGGGAACTGACAGCTGAGCAAACTCACAGACCATTCACTAACAGCTCTTCTTTACACTGGCCCTATGGAAAGCTTTGTCCCATAGCTGTTTTGGGGGGACGTTACTCTTGAATGAGATGTGAAATTGTAACATTATGGAATTCTTCTTGGAGAAATAAGATTGAATCTAGACTGAAACGTAAGTGTCCTTCAACAATCTGTCATTTGGAGCACAAAGAGTTAGCAAGACATAGTTCTACAGAGTTCTCCCTCAGGAATTTGTTTTTCAGTTGGGCAAATGGCTCTCACCAGACAGCTTCTGGTTTCCTTATAAAGGCTTTCTTTCTCAAATCTAAGAGTGCACCCCTTCCTGGATCTTCTCCCTGTGGATTCTCCTGCAAAAGAGAGTTTCTTTGGAGACAGTTTCTGAAGCAAGGGTGATCAGGAGAGATTCTGGAATTTTAGTCTAAAAGAACCTTTCTCCTCATAGTTTTTGAGGCTAATAATCTCTCTCTTTCTCCCTGCCCCCTCTCTCTTTCTCTCTGTCTCTGTCTGTCTGTCTGTCTGTCTGTCTGTCTCTCTCTCTCTCTCTCTCTCTCTCTCTCTCATAGATTCTAAGACCTTAATGACTGTTCAGGGAGCAATAAGCAAGATCAAATGTCCGTTCTCCCAGACTCAAGAATTCTTCTGTTCATGCGATCAAAGTTTTAGAGCATTGAAGACTTTCAAGAAGACACCAGGTGCTGTAAAATCTTCAGATAGTTTATCAAACTAAAACAGCATTTGAGAGGAATGGATGAGCATGAACCTCATAGTACACATTCAATAGAGCAATATATCATCATGTCAACTTAAACTGTGTTTGTAATGTTTAAAACAATATTACAAATATAGACCACAGTCATGAGCATGTGTTCATTCATTCCATAATGTTTAGAGCTTAAATGACTTCAAAATGAATATTGGTAAGGATATGGAGTTTGGAGTCAGAGGGCAGAGTTTTATTCCCGGACCTGCTCTCAGTTTGTTGCATGAAAATGCGAAAATCAAATTGTTCCTCTGTGTCTTGATTTTTTTAGCTTGTTTATACATTGTGAGAGGGAGCGGTGGTACCTAGTGATGCTGCTGTGATAGTGCTGTTTATGAAACATTATAATAAGAGTATTTACATATTCCTGATGGCTTGGTTGCAGGAATGTTTAACTTATAATTCCTGTCTTGGAAGAATTCTCTGTATTTAATATTTACTCTTCAGTTTTAGTGCAAGACAATTAAAAATGGTTTAGAATAATAAATTTTTGAAAAAGCTATTACTATCCTTATGTTTTCTAATAAAGTTCCTGTGTTACAAGAATCCTAGTATTTTTGCTTTGATTACAGGAACTTTAAAAAAATGATACCATGACAAGTGTACAATGAGAAGGCTAATCAGGGATGCAGTGAAATAAATTGTTGAGCATATAGGAGGAATTTAAAACATCATCACTATCATAGAAAAATTCAGCTTGAACATTCAGATAATCCATTGGAGCTTTCTGTCTTTAATTTAAAAATTTACGTTATTTATTTTGGGTGTCTAGAGTATAGTCATCTTGTCACTTTTTATCGTGATAAGAATACTTCGCAGAAGATCTACCTGCTTAACAAATTTTAAGTTTATAATATACTATTATTGACCATAGTTACAATGTACAGCAGCAGATTATTCCCCTTGCAAACTGAAACTTTACACAGTGTGAAGAGCAACTCCCCATTTTTCTCTCTCCCTTGATCTACATCCTGCACAGGTGTAGTTTCAGGTAGAACGGAGGATTCATTGGAATTTAGACTTAAGGCCACTGTGTTATATATGAGCAAATAATTTGAATGCATTTTTTTCTATGTCCAGAGACTTTGTGGAAAGCTGAGCTGAAAGGTGACCTTCTCTACTTCGGAGCCAAGGTAAGTGGATCACTTGAGCCCCAGAATTTGAGACCAATATGGGAAACATAGCAAGTTCTCATCTCAACAAACAAAACAAAACAAAAAGTGACATATTAGCTTATCTATCAGATAAGCTTTCAAAGCAGGACAGCACTCAGGCAATAGCATGGATATCATTGGCTGCTGTTAGCAAAATTTGCAGTGAAAACAAGGAGCATAAAAGGAACAGAGGAGACAAATTTAGAAAACTTTCAGTTTAGCCATATAAGGAGCGTGTTTAGAGGTGCAGCCAGGGAGGATGAATTTGTTAAAGAAATTTCATCAAAAAGAAGTTAAGTGCTTTGAACAGTGACATGGTAAAAATGTGTTAAGGGCATTTCAGGAATCAGTAAGACCCTACCCCTCTCAGGATGAAAGGTGTGAATTTAAGACCCTACCCCTCTCGGGCTAAAAGTGTGAATTTAAGGATTTTCCAGGGAGGAATATTTTGCAAAGAAAGTTACTGGACTCCTTGTTCACCCAAGACTGCCTCACAAACTTTTATGGGCCAAGCACTTGGAGGTCACTCCTTCCATGGCTCATGCAACACCAGGTACAGTTTATGCTGGTGGAAGACCTTGTCATTATGCACATGATGCTGACTTTGTAGGAATGGAGAATGCAAGAGTTACAGAGTTATGAAGGCTTACACCCAGATTTTAAAGGAAGATATGAAAGGCCAGGCAATGTGTGAAAGGGTTGGTATCCCTAGTGGCCACCCACAAAAGAGCAATGCATAAACCTTTGTCAGTAGAGCTAAAGCTACAGTGGAGATCCAAGGAAGGAAAAGATACCAGATATGTGGGATACCTGCTAGGTTAAGCTGCAGGCAGCATGTAAAGCTGGCTCCATAGAGTAGCCGCATGGGCTGCAACCAGAAAGACCATAGAAGAAGAACTGCCAAAGTCCTTGGGGATGTATAGTAGATAGTGTAAAAATACTCCAGTTGTTGGACCTGGAGCTAAAATATTTACCATTTGCCCTTCTGGGTTTTGGTCTTGTTTGGACATATCTATCCTTTCTATTCTTCTATTGCTACATTTTGGAATGGGAATGTTTAGCTTGTGCCATTGTATCTTGGAAGTATGTAATTTCTTTTTGACATTTACAGGGTCTCACATCTTATGTCTCAGAGAAGACTTTACACTTGGACTCTTGAGCAATCCTGGAACAATTAAGAACTTACTGTCTTTTTAAGGTGGATGTAGTAAATTTTGTATTGTGTGGTGGGCATGAAACTTTAGGAAACAGAGGCAAACATTATAGATTGGATCTTAAGTGTTCCCCAAAAGCCTATGTGTTAAAAGATTGGTGTTAGTGAGAAGCAGTGGGAACTTTAAGAAATGAAGCTGAGTGGGTGATTTTAGTTCATAGAAACTATGCCCTCAAAGGTCATGGAGATTATACCCTCAGAGGAGGAAATCTTCCTCTTTTGTGTTTTTCCTTCTTATTTATGAGCTGAGACTTTTCTCTACCATGTGCTTCTGGCATGATGTGACACTAATGATGTGAAGCAACAAGGCCACTCAGTAACAAACTTAGCCTTCCAAAACTGTCAGCCAAAATAAAATCTTCATAATAAGTGGATTATCTCAGGTATTTTGTTATAGTAGTGAAAAGCTGACTACCACAGTCCTCAAAGAATTTTCCTGTTCTGAATGTTTTTCTTCTTCCTTTTCTTTAAATATCTACAGCAATGTCCTCTTGAAGCTTCCTTTAACCAATTATTTTAACCAAGTCTAAGCACCTCTCTATTCAATAAGAGGTTGGAATGAAGCTTATCAAGTTCACTTACACTCACCTTTTACCTTCTTAAATTCATGTACAGACTTTCTTGAAGTACAAGATCCAGTTCTAACTCTTGTCTATTTCACCCACTAGCACTTTATAGATATTTAAATAGTTGTTGAGTATGCGTTAAAGAATGGAAAGGAAATACACACATTACATATTAAGAACAAAGCATTCCTTCTGTAGGTAAAAATGTGGTGCCAGATAAGACAAAAACCAGTATAGATGAGTTTGTTCAATCTTGCAAGTTTATTTGTGTGGGTGAGTGCACACTCATGTCCAAGCAGAGTAGGGTGATTCCCCCAACCTCAGCTGTAGCACTAATACCCTTTCACAAAATTGGCAAATCAAAAATCTTGCTCAGATAATTCTTGAGTTATTAACCATGAGCATCCAATGACTTCCTTTCTTCTCATTGGGGTTATTATAAGTTGTATTTCTCAGATGGAATTTTATTTCAACATATTTAGCATCTCAAGTAGGATTGCATACATGAACCATTTTCTTATGTCCCCACCGTGTGTGACCTATTTGCAGAGATTTAATTGATGCTTTTCTAGGATTTAGGCTTTCTTTTTAAAATCAAAAATGTTCTGTATTCAATCACAAATACTTTACTAGAAAGTCCTTAATATTATCTCATTTACACATTTTCATTGAGTACACAAGGTTTCATACATCTTAATGGGTGTCTGGATCTTTGCTGTAGAAACAGAAGTGAAGAAAAAAAGCAGGGCAAATTAATTTTTGTTTTGGCTAAAAATTCCCCATAAATATCCTATCTGCCAATGTTCACAGTACTAACACTGGAAAATACCTTCTTCCCCTATCTAGTTTAACATCGTCTTTTATGCATGTACTTATAAATATACTTAGGTCTAGCTGTAAAATGTCTGGAATCTTTTGAAAGCCCAGGTTTTGTCACTCGGGTTAGTGCTGTATCTCTTCACCTAGTTCACTGGAGAGCAATGCCATATCTAAGAAAACTGGAAATGGATATGCAATTCATTGAAGAGCAGGATGTGGTTCACCACTGATTTTAAACTGTATGGGATGTAGAAAAAAGTGACATTTTTTCTTTCTTGTTATTACAGGACATGGTAATTTTCCCCGAGGAAATTTTTTTCCAGTCACCATGCTATCCTTTAACCAGAGCGTTTTCCACCCTGCAGTCTTTTTTCTTACTGGCATCCCTGGTCTTGAAACTTCTCACATCTGGATCTCCATCCCCTTTTGCTGTCTCTATGCCACCGCCATTTCTGGGAATACCATGATCCTGTTTGTCATCATTACTGAGCGTAGCCTTCATGAACCTATGTATTATTTCCTCTCCATGTTGTCCTTCACAGACCTAGGTCTGTGCCTATCTACATTGGTGACCATGTTGGGCATTTTTTGGTTCAATGCTCGGGAAATTAGCTTTGATGCTTGCCTTGGCCAAATGTTCTTTATCCATGGCTTCACATTCATGGAGTCCTCAGTTCTCCTGGTGATGGCCTTTGATCGCTTCATTGCCATTTGTAATCCATTGAGGTATGCCATGATCTTAACCAACTCACGGATCATCAAAGTGGGCTTTGCAATAGTTATTCGGGGGACATCAGCTCTAGTGCCTTTACTCTTGCTCCTCAAGCATCTGTCCTTCTGCCAGAGTCATGTGCTCCACCATTCTTATTGCTTCCACCCTGATGTGATGAAGCTTTCATGCACAGACACAATGATCAACAGTGCATTTGGCTTGGCTATTGTTATCTCTACTGCTGGCTTGGATTCTGTCTTGATCCTCCTGTCCTATGTTCTGATCATTCACTCTGTGCTGGGCATTGCATCCATGGAGGAGCGCAAAAAGGCATTTGGTACTTGTATCTCCCACATCAGTGCTGTTGCCATCTTCTACATCCCTATGATCAGCTTATCACTGGTGCATAGATTTGGGAAGCATGCCCCTCCCTTTGTGCACACCCTCATCGCCAATGTTTATCTGCTCATCCCTCCTGTAATGAATCCCATCATCTATAGTGTGAAGACGAAGCAAATTCGCAAGGCTGTGCTTAAATTATGCTTTTCTAAGCTAGTGTAGTGAAGTTTCAGGGTACACTTTAGGAAATCTTCCTGATCCATAGTTGATTATTCAGTAATGTGCATTATCACTGCACTTTGAAAAGCTTGCTAACAGATGCTTTCTGCCCATTCTGATGCACTAGTAACTTTCCATTTACACAGTTTTAGAGTATAGATTCTTAGAGGATAGGGACTTCATCTTTTGTACTTTTGACATGCTCATGGCACAGTATAGGATTGTGGTTAGGATATATCTCCAGGCATGGATAAATGAATTCTTACTTTGCAGTCCTGATTACCTCACCTATGAGTATGAGACTGAAATATACTGTGAAGGTTTAAATTAAAAAAGTTATTGCATAAGACACCTTGCCATTAATCACTCTTAAAATACTTTTCCTCTTGGAACACACTCATTGCATTGTTCTTGACACTTTCTGAAGCCATTTTGGAAGTCCTCTTTTGTAAGTGTATTTACTGGATGTGATTGGTGCTGCTCAATGCCATCCAACAGAAAGCCAGGCTTAGAAAAATGTTGGAGTGAGTCTTTATTCACTTATTCACTGGATCCAGCACCATGTGACTTCTTGCTCTTCCCAAAGTAAAAAAGATCATAAAAGGTAAATGATTTGAGTTGGTTGAGGTTAGTAAAGCAACCATGACAGTGCAACTAAAGACGTTTATGAAAAAGGACTTACATTAGCGCTTCAGAAAGTGGTCAGAACAACGGGATAAGTGCATTTGAAGGGAGAGGGAATATTTTGAGGGTGATTAATGCTAATGTGCCTTTTGCTGTAAAAATTTTTAAAAATGTAAACATTCACTGTAGTTTGTGATCAAAAGTTTTAGAGCATGTAGCTATCCAAGCTATGTATCACATAATTTAGATTGGCAGATGTCCAGGTTCCAGCAATTCCTACAATTTGTTCATACTTATCATTTTTCCCCTAAATTCATGGTTTAGGTATATAAACATGTACTGTAAATGAGAAGAAAATAGAATGGAAATTAGGCTTTGTTAATTCTTAAAAGAATAATTAAGGGCACTTTGATAAGTGCTTTTAGATTTCAAATACATTTTAAGTGAGTTATCTTCTAAATATGCATCTAAAGGTTGCCTCATTAATATGTACGATTGTTAGATGGTAATCAGAATTTTAAAAATGATTAAAGAGATAGAAATGTTAATTATTAGATATTAATCTGTATTTTAAAAATGATTCAAGAGATGGAAATGCTAATTGCCATTCTTTGATCATTACATGTCTTAATTTATCACATTCTTTCCCACAAAATGTACAGTTAGAATAATACAAAAGTAAATATTCTTGTTATAATTGTGTAGTTTTATATCTGTTTAGTTACTGTAGGCCATAGAGAGAAGGGAATCTATTCTATTTTCTGTATTATCACTAAAATAACCTGGAATATATTAGATACTGAATTTACTTTGTGAAAGAATAAATAAATTTTTTTGGTTAAGGGTAGAAGGGAAGTGAAGATGTTGTTAAAAAGTTTACAAAACACACACAAATAATTTTGGAGGGAGATACGTTTATCAGCTTGGTAGGAGTAACACGGGGCTGAGGGGTTAACTCAAAGATATTCAGGTTTTCTAAAATTTGGGGATGTTTACAATTTACTTTCAATTAAATTTTATCAGGAATTAGATGAAACAGAAGAACTATTACACTAGTCCTTAATGGAAACAATCCAGACACATGTAATGGAGTAAAGACAAAGGAAGCCATAAAATACCATGAACTCTTGGGAAGTTTCGTACTCTGGGGCCACAGAACCTCCACCAGGAGTTCTCTAATGAAGAGATTTCAGGCAGCCTGAGATGTGGTCCCTGATATATGCTACCTGTCTGTGAGCAGCTCCTCAGGCTCCTTTCTGGAAAAAAAAAGCAAGAAAAAAATCACATCCCTATTGTTTGTGGGTAGAACTGCTGAATTCAGAGGCAGCATTAGGCTTTGTGTATAGTGTTTACTTCAAGAGCGGGGAAGATTTTATTAATTGCAACATGTTACATGACTGCCCAAGGAAAACTGTGGAAGGCTTTTTTTTAATCTGAAATTTGGGGGCATTCTATCCTTGGAGAGGGTGTACGTGTCCATGGACCATTTGTTTGCTACTTAGATCAGGTTAACACACCCATGCATTGCAATATTTTGGTTAACTGTTCTACATTTTAAAACTGACACCTCTAATTAGCTGCCACTGTCACCACGATGCATTGCTTCTATCACTTTCATCTTCGTTTACCATTCTCAGATGCTTCCAGTGTTCTATATACTAGTCAGCATATGAAGTGCTTTACAAGTGCATTCATTTAATCTTTACATTTCATTGCTCAGCTACCAATTTCAAAGAAGTGCATGCTGACGTAAAAAGCTCATTTGGAGGTCTATTTAGTTGGTGGCACAGTGAACATGAAAACTTAGATTTGCCTCACCCTACCACTGTATTTCCAACTCTGTAATTAGAGAAGCGTTAACTGAACGTAGTTAAGCACAGAATCTGAAGCATTCTCTTACAGGGGTGACAAGATATTATCTTCTATGTGAAGAATTACTATCAATAAATGGAGAGCACACAAAATGTTTCTTCTAATAATAGGTCAAAGCCTTCCTTCTGAAACCTCAAATGTCACAAGTATGTATTTGCTTGCACACAAACATACATGCACAATATTCAGTTTATGAGAATGAGCCTGAGATCAGTGAGATTCTTTCGATGCTTACATTTGTAATTTCAGGGCATAAAGTGTGGTTTAAGTATACAAAGGTATAGTGTTTTGAGATCATGAGATATGTCCCAAATCCTTGATCAGTTTATAATTCTTGGATTGAATTAATATGAGTATATTTTATTTGCCCACACTTTTTAGAATATGGTATAAAGTATCTGAAGCATAATGAAAAGTAACTAATGTCCCATTTGCCAGAATCAAGCATAATTTAGTTAGGAATGCATATTTTTAGATAACTCATGATCATTCAATGAAAAAACCATTATTTTCCATGTAAAATTTAACAGGATCAAACTTTACAGGTAGGAAGAATATCATTTGACTTTATTTAGTAGAAGTGATGCCACTAAATGCTTCCTAACATAGATAGATTCATATTAAGTGTATAAATGTTCAGTGGATCAAATAAAGAGTCTAAATAATTTATTTGCTTTCAAAGAAGGGGTAGCTATGAGCAAAGCACACCCACATGAGAGAATTTTCTATAGTTGGTAGTGTGGTGAAGTAGGGAAATATCCAGAACAATTATATTGACATGGGCAGAGAGGCTGGATACCTTTTAAAGTTACTTTTATTTTGCCACTGTCCCAAATGCCTTGTGGCCAGGCTGTGGCTATATCAAGTGCACCATAGCTACTCTGAGAGACAGTTACTTGGGCTCCAGCAGGCTTCAGCCATGAACTTATTGCAGATGACTTCACTGCTCAGCCCCTCTGGCTGGCTCCATCTTGCCATCCCGCTGGATGACTGTCTCTCTGTAGTCTTTCTCAGTCAGTCAGCATGGTTGGGGGTCCTTCCTTTCCCATGACCATCTTGTATAAGCAACCTCCTTCCTGTCCATATGGGTCAGTCTATATATGATATCTCTTAATGCTGCAAGTTTGCAATGTAAATTCTAATAAAGGCTTTTCCAGGCGGTGTATTCTTGCTTACTGTTGATTCCTGTTTTGTGTACTTCGTGATGAGCTGACCACATCAAGGGTCACTGGAGGGAGTGTGACCAATGGCTGGAGCTGATGACACTGAAGATGGCTGGCTGCCAAGAGAGTGACAGAGAGCAAAATATTGCCAGGAGTTACAGTCTCCCATGAGGCTTTTTCCTCAAAGCCTTCCAATAGCTGCCTGCTTTAAGTTGTGAAGAGGGTGCTGTTAACTCTAAAACAGCTGATGGTGGCTTGCATTGATCAAGAATGTTCAGCTAATTGGTGACAGTTTGGAAGCTGGCACAGGGATCATTCCCTGTAAAGGACCTGAAGAAGAGGGTGAAGAAGTGGGATGGTCATCAGGACGTACAAGAACCAGCTCGTGTCTGATTTTCAGCTTATAAGCAACTGAGAGTTCATGCTGGCCAGTGACAAAATGAGAAGGGCTCTGGTGGTAAGGAGGGGAGCAGGTCACAGTAAAAGTAGATACTGGCCAGATTGGAGGGGTCCTTGGCTGCTATGTGAAAGAATTATAGAATATGACTACATACTGAAGGCAATAAAGAGCTTGGAAGAGTGTGAGGAATGGCAGGATAATGTACTTTCCAAAGGTCCCACTATCACGTCTGCAGAGAAAGTCTGGAAACCCTTGAATCACAGGCCAGGGAAATTATGTGAATATTGTTCTAGGTGGAGCATTATGTAAAATGGTGATGATGAAACTGGTAAGGTTCCTACTTGCATTGTTGTACTGTCATGTGTGAGTCTATCCCTTTGTTATGAATGGAGCTTGTGAATGTGAGGGAATGTCACTTGCATGATTATGTTAAATTACTGGATACGGCAAAAGGGTTCAGCAGTTACATACAAAATTTCTGCTTAATTGATTCTGAGTTAATCTAAAGGAAGATTACCTCGAGTGAGTCTGACCTAATCACAGGAGCCCTTTGAAAGGACAAATAGTAAGAGATTCTCCTGATGGATGTGAAGAAGTGTGAGATTGTGTTGTGAGAGGACTCTGAGGATGAGTCTTACAGAAGCGACCAGGAGAAAAGAGCAACCCCCAGGTGACAGACAGTAAGAACATTCACCATAAATGACAAAATGCTACCAAGCACCTGACTTGGATGACCTTGGAAGAGGATTCTGAAATCCAGATCAGGGCAGAGTCTTGGCAGAAAGCTCAATCTCAACTCAGTGAGCTACTGAGCAGAGGATCTAGTTTTGCTCTGCCAAGACACATTCCTTACAGAACTGTGAGATTAGAAATGTGCCTGCTTTCAAGTACTAAAATTTACTAATTTTGTGCACAGTCATGGCTGACTCATACAACAGAGTATG